GAACGGTTCAATATCGATACGAGTATCGTTGCACCCCTAATATATAAATATATATATGTATGTGTGTGTGTGTGTGATCTACAGTATCAAAAGCGGAGCTGAGATCCAACAGAACCAGAACTCTGTACTCTCCAGCATCTGCTGCCATCAAGATATCACTAGATACTCTAAGTAAAGACGTTTCAGTGGAATGTAATTTACGAAAACCAGCATTTTTATCCAGGAAATAGTCAAGTTGTACTACCACCAATTTTTTCTAAAATCTTTGATTCAAAGGGCAATTTGGATATTGGCCTATAACAGTTAGGAAGAGATGGATCCAGGTGGGGTTTCTTTAATATTGGTTCAACAACAGCTTGTTTAAAGAATCTGGGAACTGAGCCAGTATAGAGAGAAATATTTATCACTTCCACAATACAGGGGCTAATGGAATTAAACACGCTAATGAAAAGTGAGGCAGGTAGGACATCAAGGGGGCTTGAAGTCTGTTTAATATGACAAAATAGGACTCTGATGTCCTGTAATGTAACATGAGTAAAAGAGGACCAAGTATCGGAGGAGAGCAAATTGTAAGTTTGATACTGAGAAGATGAAGGAGAGATATTTGACCTGATGGCAGTGACGTTATTTGTGAAATTGATTAATTGTCTTAATTGTATTAAATTGGAATTCTAAAATGGATTTTGAAATGAAGTTTCTAAAGAGCATTTTAAAAATCTGTTTTTTAATGTGGAGTTCAAAAATGAATTTACAAATGCAGAATTTATTCTACAGTTCATTAAAAACAGAATTCTTTATTTTGATGCGGGTGGCTCTTGTGGTCCTCCATAGAAATTACATCCACTGCCTAAAAAAATTGTCATCTTCAGTAAATAAAGTATTTATAAAATTTTGATCAACACGTAGACAAAAGTGTTTTTTATGTTCTTTTCCTCTCACTGTAGTTGTTGGCTGGCAGCATTGGATAAGAACAAACATTTCAACTTTAGAAAACCGATGTTTTGGGCTTTCCTTCTTCCTATTGGCCTGATCCTGATTTACAACATCGTCCTGTTGGTTCTTACCTCCATGACTACATGCAAAGTTGAACCCAGACTGACCAGGTAACATCTAAAGCTGCTGTTGTTTCAAAAATATTTCAAAAATAAATTACCCAAATTTAAGTGGATGTTAAAAGGTGCAATTCTCAGATATAAATATATTAAGAAAACCAACATTTAAAAATGAGAAATGAAAAAGAAAAACTTTGAACACAATTTAACTGTGAGCAAAACAAAATGGCTTTATTTCTTTTTGTTAATAAAAACAGTAATAACTAATAACACAGTAATGCTCCATCTTTGTCTTCAGGAGAGATGTATCAATGCATACACTCCATTTTCACAGATATGATGTAAAGATTATGCAGAATCATTTCTGACTAGCTTCCATGTGGATTTTAACTCTGTTTTTACTGTAGCAACAAGAAGTCATCTTTAAGCAGGAAGTTCCTCATCAGTTTATCTCTGGCGGTGTTACTCGGTCTGTCCTGGACTCTGGGATATTTCGTGCTGCTCAGTTCAGAAAAAACACACCTGATCTTCAGCATTTTGTTCTGCATCTGTACAGCCACACAGGTACGACTCCTTCCACTTCATTCTAGAACTGAGATTAAAGGTGTCATGAGCTTCTCACACTTCAGGTAAACACATAAAATGCAAAAAAACAAAAACAAACGGGAGGTGATTGTTGAAAGTTTCATATTTAATTTATGGTATATCGAAGGGAACAAGGAAAACTGAAACATTTTAACTGAAGCAGTAGTAGTAATAAAAGTACGAAAATGCTGTTAACTCTTTCAAATATTAGGATATTAGTGACAAAGCCAAGAAAAACAAAGGCTCATCTCAGTAACCACAGCATTGAAAGAGGATGCCACACCCGAGTTTCAGTCTACCAGCAAAAGAAAATTGTACTGAGGTCACTTTTGCTGTTGACAACTGACTGCAAGTAGCTCTGGTATCCAATTGCATCACCATTTTCAAAAGATAGCCTGGTGGGAGGCAACCTGTCTTCAAACAGTCATGGCGTGACTTAAACTTCTGTTCTGCAGCAAGTACGTCACTATTTGTGGAGGAATTTCTATCATGGTACTGGGTCTGTGACCCAGTGTTTTGTGTTTGTTTAAGTTATATTCCTTGATTATTTGTTATTCATGACTTTGGTTTTCTTGGTGGTTTGCTGTTCATATTATATTTGTAGTTCTAGGTCCTAGTTCTGGTCACTGTGTCTTCCCTGTGTTCCATGTTGCATATACAGTCAGTCATGTTTCAGTGTCAAGTCCTTGGCTGTATCCCAATTCAGGATCTGCATCCTTTCGCAGTGTTCGTGGGCCGGGTCCTCCAAATACCGAGAAGGCTCGAAGTGCCAGTCTTGTGAAATGGGACCATCTAGCCTCCGTCGCACTGCTCAGGTTGCCTAGCAACCATGATACTAACCACTGGAAACGTTTCATACAGCATTGTTTGACAGAAATGAAGGAGACATTTCTTTTGTTCATCTGTTTGTTTTTACATGAGCTTTGTTTGATTTGATAAGTATCTGAGGCTGAGACCACAGGACTGTAAAACATGATTTTTGGGCTTCATTTCTGTACTGAACAGTCATTTAAAGATAAATAACAATTAGCTAATGTTGTTCATGAGACTAAAGTCATCTCACTTTGGTAATGTAAATATAATATGGCCAATATTAAATTTACTATTATATTAATCATTATTAGTTATTACAGCAGTGAACCTGAAATCTGTATCAAATACTGGGCTTCAGTAAAGATTCAAGTTGCAGTTATTTATATTTCCTAAAACCTTATATATTCACTCAAAGACAAGTATCTTTTACAGTGTATATATAGATGTATTATATATAGGACACAAATGTTGTTCTTTTAATATGTTGGCTGATAGGTTTGTAGCATAAACCTATTCGCTGGAACGTTCAAGACAATTCTACTACACAGCAAAGCAAGACACAAGCAGGCAAAGTTCTTTATGTTTCTCGTATACAAGAAAGACCAACTGGACAAACACCGTTCCTTCGCTTGACCCCAGTTGCTCTTGTCTGCTCCCTCGTAACACTGCTCTTTTATTGAGGTTAAATGAATATACATAGGTTCATTTACATAGGTACACACGTGAACAAAGAGTACTGTCTGAGTGTGTGTGTATGTGGGGTCAGAATGTGACAAACACAGCAGTACTACTAATCCAAAATACTCAAAGCTTCATAGAACTGAAACAAACATTTATTTTTAGGTCCATTCTGCTGCTGATACACACTTTAGGTTTCTGAATATTAAACTTGTTACTGCCTTTCATAATGTGTAACTTGAAGGCCCTGAGTACTTTCTCCCACACTGAAAACATTTGAATGATAAAATTATTTTATCATTGCCTAATAAGACTGATTCAGGACAGACAATTAGTTATTTTAAACTTTTCTAGCAGTCCTTCACAAACAGGGAACAGTCTGTCTATTCTCTCCATCTGTCAGCTGCTGCTGGCTCTTCCTCCTCCTATTCCTCACACACTGCTGAGTTTGTCCTGGTGGATCATCAGGGGTGCAATGCTGGACACTTGCAGTTGTCACACATGGAATTCAAATATGTGATAAGCTGCAGGATTCAAACACAACACACAAGAATTTACAAAGTAATAAGAAAAATCTTGCAAAAATAATTTCAGGTACTTTACTAATAACTATAAAGAATAATTTGTTACTTATAATTAGCATCAAACATGACATTACTTAGAAAAATAAAGAGAGTAACCATCATCTTCCCTTTCTGTTTTTTAGGGTTTACAAATTTTCCTCCTCTTCACAGCTCGAACACGGGCCTTCAGAGCCTCCATGTCATGGTCCATGCAGTACATTTCATCAATCAACATCCCTCTGAACAACAAAAAGTACAATCTGTGGAAGAAGTGGAATACCTGGAATATGAGCCAATCGGAGACCTACAGGGATCTGAGTGACATCGAAATGACCACCAGCAAAACCCTGTAGGACCTGAGGAGGACTAACAAAAAAGCCTCTTGCAGTAAAAACTTGTCATGTTGACAAGGATTACATGCATACATCACAATGAAAATTCATATTTTTCAGTGTAAGCTAATAGCTGGGAATATTGCTGAAGTCTCCTGGATGAGCTTCTGAATTTTTAAGTGTATTTTTGACTGACTGAACTGCATTTCCCAGAATTTCCAACATGCTGTTCTGCCATCAGAGGAAGAAGCGGTTGGATTTCCTGACTGCTTTGACAGTGTCTCGCTCTCTACATGAAAGACGACAGAGATGACATAGATTATAAAGACTGCTCTTCTACGCACTTTTTATCCAAAATTATGATCCTAAGTTGGCATTTTTCCTTCACAGCTATCTATAAGTTCACTGTATCTCGTATAAAAGACAATGTTTTGTTCATCACATCAATAGGCAACATAAATAAATATTTGTTGTCAGGTGGTAAAGTTCATATTTTATCCAATTCTTTACTTTCCACCTATAAATTAGAAATACAAAAATTGAAGGCTCTGAAAATGCGCTGAGGTTTGTTCATGCTTTTTGTACAATACTGATGCGTTATTTTTAGTGTTTGTTTTTGTGCTGTTATTTATGTCCAGCAGAAACTCTTGTTTCTGGATTCATTATGAATTCAAGCTGCTGTGCTGGTGTCCAAGCAGCTCTTCATACTGATCTGAAGTGATTAATGATGGTGAATGTGTCTTTTTAAAAACTGGTGACCCAACTGGACAAAGCAGTGATCATTGCTGCCTCCAGGTGGTGACAGTTAGTTTGTTTTGACTTCAAAGTTCACAGCAGAGCTGAATGATAAACGTTTTATTTTACCAGAGAATAATGTTTATCATCATTTAAATTGTACTGGAAGCTTTTGAAATGTTGGAAATGTCACACCTTTTAATTTTAAAATTGCACTTTTTTCTTTAATGAATTACAGTTATTTGTATTTTAAGCTTTGTCTTGTGTCTGAAAACATTTAGCTGTCCACTAATTTCAGATTTGCAACCTAAAAAAGTATTATCAACACTTTGAGGAGCCAATCTGCATTTCTACTCGAAGTTTTGAGCCTTTAATTTGTCATTTTAATTTTAAAAGATTTGGCTTCAGTGGCGTATTGTTATTTTGTTATGTTGTCTACTAATCCAACAGTTTGTGGTTTAATATGAAATGAGTTTTGATATGATTTTTGTATTGAACAACTTTGTGACAGAAAAATGACACTTAATTGGCGAACATAGTTGTCTTTAAAAACTGATTTCCACTTTAAATACATTTTTGTGTCATTTTGTTTGCTGTCTTTTTTTATTTTCTTTCTTATACTCTAATGTGGTCTTCATGATTTAACACTTCACTGGCATAAACAGATTTTTTAGTGTTCTGTAATGGAAATGGCAGAAATATTCTTTTTTGCATTATATATTCTTATTTTAAAAGGTCTGAATTATTTCTAAATCTTCTAAAGTTATTACTAAAAACTTTATTTAAATAATTCCTCCACGGTGCTGTAAGACACATTGCCAGTTATTGCAAATGCTTAATTGCAGTTGTTGCTACTAAAACCAGTTATTAGGTGCAACCAGTTATTAGGTTTAGGGGGCAATCACTTTTTCACACAGGGCCCTTAATAATAAATGCCTTCATTTAAAAACTGGATTTTTGTTTACTTGTGTTATTATTGTTTAATATTAAATTTTTTGATGATCTGAAACATTTAAGTGTGACAATATATACACAGAACCTCATATGGGTATTTTGCAATCGCTACATTTTTACGTTTACATATTCACTGGTATGTAGTAATATCACAGCAGTACTGCTGTATATCAAATGATCAGCGGATGTCAGTACATCGTGCATTGTGTGATTTACCTTTTGGTGGGAAAAAAAATTCACAGGGATTTATCATACCATCACTAGTTGTGAGAGTCCCAGTCTCCAGAGGCAAGGGTTTCCTCTATCCACAGTTTCCAGTAGATGTCTGTAGACGATGCATGTCAGACATGACCACTTTTGTAACATTTTTATTCTCGACTGCAATGTTCCAGCTGCCAGCCACACATACACCAACAACTTCAGTCAGGACCCAGTACAGACTTAAATGCAGGGGAAGTGTGATGAGCACTGCCTCCCAACGCCACAGACCCCGCCAACCACAATGTCTTAAATAGAGAAGGTGTTGAAGCTTTGCTCTGATTTCAAAGAAAGTGTTATGACCCAGGTCATGATTTTGTGTGTTGCTTTTGCTCGCCACACCAGAGGGTGGCGTTGTTTATTCTCTGTCTTGTTTGTGCTTGTTTAAGTTTCCAGGTGGAAACTGACCATTGGTCGAAGGATGAGGCTGTGTCCCAATCCAGCGACCGCACGCTTCAGTGAATAGTAAATGTCAAGGTGACACCTTGTGACACCTGTTGGAACCACGTGACCGTAAATGCACAGTCCCGCAAATCTGTGAATCATTTTCCAGACAGAAGGCAGTATGAATAGAAGTATCACAACTGCAAGTGTAATCAATTGTACCAATATTACCCTTCCCTGGCCACAAACTGAAATGTCAACATATTCCATGCAGGAATGTAGCTGTGCACACACCAAATATCTGCGTGAGCCACCAAGACATCACATATTTGCAAAGGTTATCACACCATCCATGTCAAATATAATAGAGAACGCCCTGACCTTAACGTAGGACCTTAAAAAGTAAATGTTTGGCCTCAGTCAGTGCTGCCCCTGTCCCACAATAAATCGTTTTGCCTGACATTTCAGTTTGTATGTCCCACACAGCTGATTATGCTGAACATACGGAAAACAGGTAACTGATAAAACAGAAGTGCAAGATGGTCGGGAATGTAATCCAATGTCTTGCTGCATTCCAACGGCAAGGAGCAGACAGCTGAACTCATCCGACTCCGCCGTGAAAATGAGCACCTGTTTACCGGTGCAAAACACTCAGCCGCAGTGGGGTTGGAGGTACAGCAACAGCATGAGGTTTCCAATCAGTGAGGCACAAGGGAGAGTGAACTGTCTGCCCTGCGGTCCCAATCTAGTACATTTTGCTGTGGATGCCATTCAGGGAATAACCTGATTTTCATGTTCTATCATATTTCGTCTGTCAGAGCAATCGTGGAGAAGATGGACCTGGTAGGGAAAACCTCCCCTGTGCAGGCCAAACGAAAATGGGTGAATCTAAAAAGGAAATACAATGTAAAGTGGTATTGACAGATGTATCTCCACACAGAATACTGCAAAGTCATCTATGTAAACCTGTACTGTAGCTGTTTTTGCCAACTGCCACTTTTGATGTACTCTGCCTTTAGGAGTGCAAGTATCCAGCGACAGGCAATGGTGCAAGTGGGAAGCCCACTGCTGCAACATGGCCCTGGTTTGGACCCATGGATGAGGTGTTAGGACAGAGGCCCTCTACCAGGCCTCCAGTCCTAATTTCCTCCATCCAGGAGGACACACCAGGCCCCAGTGAAGTAGTGGGCAACCCACTTCCTCACCAGGAAGAGCAGGAGGATGAGGAGCCGCTGGAGGCACGAGTGGCGAAAAGGAAGAGGGACGGGGAGGATGAACTCATTGCTCTAATAAAAGAGGACATGGCACAGCAACGTCAAATGGAGGAACAGAGAGCCGAGAAGATGGACAGGCTGCTAGGTGTCCTTGGGAAGCATGTCGAGCAGAAAAAGGAATGAGTCGTGTTCACAGACATCTAATGTACATATTTGCACTTTATTTATGTTGGCGTCCCAACCTTTGTTGTGTACAAACAAGATGATTTCAGTTATGTAAATAAAGTCATTCGTAACATCCCAACTGTATTTGCATGTTTGTAACGAACTCCATAAAACAATTTTTGGGGGCCTGACCTATTGCATTTGCCAAACTGCGAAAATAACAACAGTACAACGAAAAACACAACAGGATTATTGGTAATGAAATGCCCATTGTGGTCCAGGATTACCCTGAGTGTCCCAGTATGCACAGGCATTGTTAGCATTGTTAACCAGGCCTGACATTTGGCTGAGCAGGGAGTCTCGGGCAGTGCTGCTGAAGTCCTGGTGCAGCCGAAGATAGCGTAGAACCTACTAGCTGTTCCAAGCAGCTGGGGAAAGAGGGTGGCTGGGTGACGGTGAGGAGGAAGCATAGTCCTAAACAGAAGCCCCAGGTACACCACCAACCTGTTCATGTGTCTAACCGTTTTTCCCCACTCGGTGACACACCCGCCGGGGGTCAAACTCTGGTAATTGGTGATTTTGTTCTCAGACATGTGAAGCTAGAGACACCGGCAACCATAGTCAATTGTCTTCCAGGGGCCAGAGCAGGCAACACTGAAGGAAATTTAAAACTGTTGGCTAAGGGTAAACGTAAATTCAGTAAAATCATAATTCAGGTCGGCAGTAATGACACCCGGTTATGCCAATCGGAGGTCACTAAAATCAATATTGAATCGGTGTGTAACTTTGCCAAAACAATGTCGGACTCTGTAGTTTTCAATGGTCCCCTCCCCAATCAGACCAGGAGTGACATGTTTAGCTGCATGTTCTCCTTTCGCAACTGAGGTTAAACATGATATATAAGTCACTTAGATCACTTCTAAATGTTAATTCTTGGTTTATTTCAGTGTTTCCTTTGATCCTGAGTAAATTGGTTTGGCTGAGATTAAAGTTAAGCTTCATAACATATTAATCACAGTTAAATTAGAAGGGGGGGGGGTAAAAAACTCCGGACCTGTGACGTCATCAAGTACGCTGGTGTTCCAATTGTACAAATCGCATCGCGAGTCCATGCTCACGTGCTCGGCAAGTCCATACTCCCGTGCATTCTTGGCTAGTCCAGACTCGTACTTGAGAATTGAGAAAAGGCCACAATAAGGCCCGTCCAGACTGGCAGCCCCGCCTACATCCTGCTTCAAAGGAGCTGTGCATTTAGCCCTGTGCCTTGTGGTGTGCTGTGTGAATGTGTTTCTGGTATGAGAAGAGCTTGGCTGCATTGTATATGTTGTAAATAGTGTGAACAGACCTTTTTTGTTGATCTAGTAGCTGTAGGGGTGGGAAGCAGTTTTCTTTTAGAACCTTTTTCTCCCATTTAGGTTAGAGAGACAGGTAAGAGGCCTGTATTTTCTTTTGGGTTTCTGATTACAGGTAAGTCAGTTCCATTTCATGACTAGAGTGTTTTGTTTGTTGTTTTGGCCATGCCCACCCCTGATGCGTGCTACTTTTTGAGTTCAATAAAATACCTGGTTGTTCTAAATGTAGGGGGGACATCTCCCTCTGAGCTCTGTAAAAGTTTCCAGGCAACAGCAGGAACACAACCAAACAGGTTACTATATAACAGGTTATGTGTATCACACCACAAACATAACAGTTTCTTACAGAAGACAATTGGAAATCATAACATCCATCAGTATGGCCGCAGGGGAAAAAGTATCTCGATGTGACACTGTCCTTTACTTATATTTGGGCTTCATTTTTTGTGACTTCTGATATGAAGTAATCCAGTCAATAAGATGATGTAAATAAAAAAGATGCAGACTTAAGTTGTTGTTTTATGGCAATCCTTTCAAAATCTGAAACTCTTTTAACTGTTTAGTTCTTGGTGTGTGTGCCTGTTTTCATGGTTGAAGTAATGGATTTTAATGTCCACATGTTGCATTCAGCTAGAATGGAAAGAGAACAGCCTTTTAATAGTAAATTAACAACAACAGCTGACATCTAATTTCATGTTTGCTGTTTATAAGTTCCTTATAAATCCCTGTGAGCTTCAGCTGTGGGAAACGGACGCCAATTGGGTCATGACCAGCAAACTGTGGACACCAGGGGGCGCTGTGGAGACAGCAGTAAACTCCAAACACAAACTGAGAATGAAAGGTTAAACAGTGATCAGCTGATTTGCTCAGTGAGAAATCAATCACTAGGTCTCGGGGTGAGAATGGGAGATAAAAACACTTGCAGCATGTATTTAAAATAATTTACATTTTTCCTTCTCCTGCTGTAGAGTGAAGGGTTGATGGCTGATGAAACAATGGAAAACCACTAACATGGTCAGCATGTTTTTGCTGCTAACTAACATTACAAACCACTGAGTACTAGTTTATTGAATGTTATCTCTCTATGATAATCAGATAAGATAAGATAACCTTTATTATTCCCACACGTGGGAAATTTGTTTTGTCACAGCAGAAAGTGGACAGTGCAAAGTTACATAGCAAAAATGAGAAAAAACACTGGAATAGGATAAGAATAAGAATAAGATACTGTACACAATAGAATAGAATAAAATATAATACTATATACAATAGAATAAAATAGAATACAAATTCTATATACAACTGTGTAAAGTACAACATTGTCAGAAAAAGAGTATTACACTTAGTGTTATTGCTGTTGCACATGTGTGGATGTGTGTGTTTGGTCAGTTGCGAAGTCTTTGTTGTGGAGTCTGACAGTAGTGGGGAGGAAAGATCTGCGAAATCTTTCCCCCCCCACGCCAGTAACTTTGCACTGTCCACTTTCTGTTGTGACAAATCACACCATATTTATTAATTGAGCACCTTCTACAAAGCTGGACTGCAGTTTGAATTCCTTTATAGGTAACTTATGAACAAAGATAAGGAACCTTTTTGTGAACATGCAGTAAAACAATCAGGCACTGTATAATTTGATGGCTTATTGTAAAGCAGAGTAACTCGGCTGAATGTTTTCACGCAGACTCAGTGGCACAGTGGCGTCTTGAAAATATTACCAAACCAGACAAATAGGAAACCTGATGTGCAGCTGCTCATCATCATGGATGGCTGGCTTGTTTTCGCTCTGGGTAAGAAAAACTGAGCTTTTCTGATTGTTGCTGGCAGTTCCTTAATTCGTCACTTAAAACTGAACCAACTCAAATGCGACTCTCCTTAATTTTTCATAGATAAGTTTGAATTAATGCACTTAAACAACTGAAATATACACAAGATATCAAATAACTTATGAAATGCATTGCCTTTCTTTGTCATTGTTTTTTCAGACTTAATAATACAGTTTTTAATGATAATTATCTCAATAAGAGAATGTTAATAGTGGTCATTTTATATGGCGTTATTTTTAGTTCTTTTACTGTGTCATTGTTTTTATAATTAGTATCAGTAGTAGTATGCTATGATACATTGTGCTACAACACATCACTTTAATCTGACATACCTTTTCATAGATAAACAGATGCTTTTTGTTCCCACAATGGACATATATATAAGTCAACAAAACACAACAAATGATAACTATACTATGAGAGAGTGCTGCAGTTATTTATTTGTAAAAAATGTTTGGACTCATGTATGATTTTTGTTCCACTTCTCACGTGTACACCACTTTGTATTGGTCTTTCACGTGGAATTCC